AGAAAGCGGGCTGTTCTACACGGTCTTTTAAGTAATTGGTCTTACACCGTCATCTATGCTTGGTCGACTTCAAACGGTATCGCTTACTTCAGCTCCTTTTTTTAGGTAGTCAGTTAAGAAGATAATAATAATAATTACAAAAACATTTCTATACATGTATGGCCTATACAAATTGTTCTAAGAGCTTTAAAATTCTCAACCTATGTTTCTAGTGTTAACAAATCACAAAAATGTCCATAGGCCTTTGTCCTCAATCCGCTAGTTTCTCTGTCTTTCATGTCTTTCAAAAGAGCTTATTTTAAAACATCATTACTAACAAATTCAAGGCCAAAGTAAAATGTTCAGGATAAAAGTGTTAAGGAAAACAAACCGACCTGCAAAGTCTTTGCTTCTTTTTTTTTGTGCGAAGTTAAGAAACTATCCTGGGCACGTAAAACAAGCCAACTGCACGAAAATCCAGAGCTGACGTGATTTAGGTAGAACTTTTGTAGTTTCGAAAGAGCATTGCATTAAATAACATACTCAAACCCAAATGGTCAAGAAAAAAACCTTAACAAAGCATTAAGTGACTAAGATATAGTTAGTAGGTCAATTTGTACATAGTTTGATTTCTAATGACCATCGTGATGAGGTTTTCTTGATTGAGGGCAGAACTGTGGTGGCCATTACTTCATGGTAGGGTGGTGGCCGTGTTGAAGAGAAGAAAGCATAAAATGGAATTTAAGGACTGTCAGTCGGAACAAAAAGGATTGGTCTTTGCAGAAAAGGACTAAGACGCTACGTAGGTGGCTATTAGTAAAGGCCTAACTGACTGTGAATTCTAAATTGGAAGAAAACTTACCATATTTGAGAACAAGTAGCGCAGATCAACGATTCGCAAATGCTTCTTAAGTAGCTCCTTGTGTGAAGAGACGCTGATGTGAATGCACGCTTCACCCAGTACACTTTCTTATATTGGAATTTTTTTTAACTAATCAATCAAAGTTAACTGCGAAATATTCAGTTACAAATTTTATCTCTCGCTTTTTTAATTTCTTAGCAGACTTTCCGGTTGGAACCTAATATGCTGACCTTGGTGAAAACAAAACAGCATTAGTAAGGACTTTAAATTGCTGGATCTAGATAAAAATACGAATCTAATGTTACACGCTAAATATAAAGATAAGCTGAATATTAGTACTGAATACTATACTTTATAAAGGGTGATTACGTAACATAGGACAGAACACTTCTTTGTGTCTTAGCAAAACAACTGAATTTTAACACAAACTGATCACAACATGGTTTTGTCCATTGCAGTCTTTATCAATAGTCGTGTTTTAAAAAAACAGCCGCCGTCTAAACAGATCAAATTAATGGAGTCAATAGGGCAATTTATGAGAAAAAGTCCACACGTGTCTTACATAATACACATCTTACGATGAAAAGAAAAGAATTAAGCGAACGTTGCGTGTTAAATTTTACTGTTCCTTTGAAATAAAAAACGAATAGGCTAAGATATGACACCGTAAGAACCATTGACTGTCAAAGTATTCAGCCCGTGTGGACTAATTGGGGACGCAAATTATCTAAAAGTGTCCTTGATAAGACACGTGTAAGCAAAAAACAAGGAATTAAAACCTCCATAAATGTCCTCCGCATCTTGGAACGACGCGAAAGCATAATACCCGGGCGTTATATCAACTTGCGCCATGCTCGTTGGATTGCCGTTGTTATGGCAACTTCCACACAAAAACGATTAAACTAAATGACACAGTTTGTGCTGTTTTCTACAGGACACGTCTCATATAAGATACCTCATGTTTTTTTTCCAAGTATAAATGAACTTAGATGTATACTGTGGGCAGCATATACATTTTTCCCCTTTTTATAATTATTTCACTTTATTTTAATTTTTTGCTTTCCTTGGCTCTCTTTTTTGTTATTATTACAGTAGATTTTTTTTTCCTTTTAACCGGTGCTAGCTCTACCACGGAAAACGTTCCCCGGTCGACTTCTTTCATCAAAGCGACAAATAAACCAAGACAGATCGGATGGTTGGTGTTTACTGCACTATGAGCTATTTTATTCAGAGTTACTCACAATGACACGACATAATTGTGGCACGTAAAATGAAGACGCCACTGTTTTATCACTCGTGCAATTTATGTTAAAATTAACGAAGAAGTCTAGGGCAAACAGTGTTTGGGAAAGGCAGCAAAAAATAAAGTTGTAAAGGGTTAAATTCACTCGATTCACGCTAATTCAGAGGGTAATGTCGGTAGGGTTAAAAAAGGTATTTTCATAGCCTATTGTGTTAAAGCACTGTCTCCAAGCAAATTCTAAACAACTGTTTCAAATTGAATAAGTAGGAGTTACGGTGTATGAATAAATTATATATTCTTACATGAAAAAGATCTGCAATAAATTTATCAGCTCAGAGAATAAATGCAGGGCTATTCCAATGTATAAAAACAGTTGTGATCACATGTAAGGTATAAATTCAGCGTAACAAAGAAGATGGGGTGTATAAGGCTTAGTTATCCGATTTGTCATATAAAAAGGTTGATATACTGATTGAAAGAAGAGCATACGTGTCAATAAGGTTCTCAAAGTCTAAACAACCGTTACAAATTGTCAAGTAGGAGTTATGAGTAAATTAAAGATGCCATCATGAAAAAGATCTGCAATAAATCTATCAGCTACAACAATAAATGCAGAGCCGTTCCAAAATATAAAAACAGTTGAAGATGGACGGCTCGACACATTTTTTCAGTGGTTGTCTTTACACTAGGCCGTTAAGTAACACTTAAGAGCTGCTAAGTTTTACTTAACCAAAAATGCGTGTGAAGGCCTAAGTAAAATCTAAAGTAACTTTACTTTGCATCTCATTAAAGTCGGAAAGTCGAAACCATTCAAGAAAGTTCCAAGTGACTTGAAAACCATCCTTAAAACCGACTTAGCGAACTTGCGGTTTCTAAGCTTTGAGAAAGGCGAAGCATGTCAATCAATCTTCATTATGTCACGGCGTGGGAAAATAGGCTTAAGTAAACTTAACGTAACAAAGATAGGTTGTGTGTGAAGCTTTTCTTTTACTTGAAGTTAAACAAATGAAGTTAAACAAATGGTTAAATAATAACTGATGAAGAAGACTTGGTAAGCGTTTGTTGTTTAACGACATCCAATCAAAAAGAGGCAATCAGCGGGACGGTTTCTGGCTGGCACGTATGAATCTTGCTACGCATTCCAGTCGCTCGAATACTGTGGGATTTTGATTTTCTTCGAGGGCTAGCTCCGGGCCGTTTGGATGGATTTTCGATTGGAAGGTACGAGAAGAATCGTGAATCTTTTGACCTTTATGCTGCGAAGTTTGAAAGCGGAGCAATGCGATTTTGGAGGGAAAAATCGCTCCGGCGCTGGAACCCTTTCAAAACAAGGATTCCTCCCTTGTCCTTCTATTATATGGAACAGTCAACGGCGAACTCAAATTCATTCAAATTCATTCAAAAGGACGACTATACACCACAGGCAAGGTAATTCAACGTTTATTTATCATTGATTTATATACATAGTTAGCGATATATCGCTATAGGTGAAGCAAACGGTAAATCCAGTACATTTACTATAAAATAACAATCGGCTACACAAACAGATTGTGTGGGGGCCCTGTGGTAAAAAAGATAGGTTGTGTGTGAAGCTTTTTTTTTTACTTGAAGAATTTAAAATTTACTTCTCTTTGTCTTAATTATTTCTTAGCTTATTTAGCCTCTAGTGTAAAGACTACCAGTGTCTAAGTTTGATAAACTGACTAAAATAAGAACATTTGTATTAATAAAAATATAAAAGAAAAAGGATCTCAATGATTAAAAAAGGACTCCCAACATGAATTTTCGGCTTTTTACATCATGTTCATACCGTCTAAAAAAGGAAACAATTCACCTTTTTGTGAACAGAAAAAGCAGAGAGAATAATCCCGAACCCTGTGGAATGCCACAAGGCTGGACTATCTTATTAGAAACAATATTTGGCCATAAGAAACAATGAAACTTAAGTTGCTTGCTAGTCATTAATAACCTTTCTGATTCCCTTGTCATATAATTTTTTTGATTCAAATTGTTTATATGACTGAGCGGAAAGCTTTTATTAAGTTCTTTCATGAACTCACAGGTATATTAAGAGTACTGAATACCCGAAGACAAATAAGTAGCTGAGGTCTTTTTACGAGAGTGGTGGTAAAAGAAACCGAATGGGAAACCCTGAACAAGATAACTAAAAATGTGCCACAAGTCTCAAAAAGGCAAAATAGTAATAAAAATTGAATGGCTGTACTGATTTAGCTAGGGTTAGAGGAGCTGTTATTGGCAATTATCAAAAACACATCAAACTGAAACTAATCATATACCCAGTACTATAATAAGGTGTCACACGGAAGCGTTGTTTTCAAAAGGTTTAATCATTAAAGATTGTTTACACTTCTTCCGCCCTAATTCTCTTTGCTAAAATTAATCCCTAGGTTCTTACGCCACTGCGTATTTCTGCGTTGATTTGACTGTGAAAGGAAGTCAGCCGAGCATAGAGTGGCGTGCAATGGAAATTTCACACGGCCCAACGGAAGTGTAATCCTTGTTGTGACTGGTTACATCCAGTTTGCGGTCAACATAGTTATACCCTGACATCTTCACAGGCTTCTTTGCCCTAACAAAAGAAAAGCAAAACCTAATAGTACAAACTGTCAGCTTAAATCTTAACCAAATACCTTTAATATTGGTCACAATGCTCTTGTTGTGTACAGTATTCACCCTTTGCCCCAACCAAAGGTAAAAATCCACGAAGGGGATGGGACTATTATCCCATTTTTAGGCCCGAGAAGTGCCGCTGATGGTTTTAAAATCGGTACACAGTACTTAGGACAAAAAAGGCCCTCAAGGGGACAGTAAAACAAATCAACACTGAAATTTACTCCGAAATGTTAACTAGTTCTTGAAAAACGAATTTGAGCAACTGAATGACACACAATTTGATAACATGAGGTTTACAAATGTATGTAAATCAAAAGTTAGGGCAAAAAGGAGCGTAAATTCCATTTTCATTTGAACCATTGTGAAATCTGGGCCTTTTCCTGTTCATAATTATTTTAAAACCTAAGCTGAACTTATCCCTTTTGTTTATTCCAAATCGTGCCTTTCAGATTACTTAGATTATTTGGGGCCCTAAATGACAATTTTCATATTTTTCTTGTAAGTAGTTTTGAAGTCACACAAATAATGACCACCTCCTTCCAACTTCAGAGCCATTTAAAGTTGTTTCCTATCAGCATTCCTCTCGTGCATAAAGACGCTCAGTGTTGGGTTCCCAGCCCTGTGTCTTCTTCGGCAAAACAGGTCCATTGGCAGGAAAGTTCAAACCAGTGAATTTGACATTGTAGATGAAACAGTTGCCTTGGATGCTTTTAAAACGAGACGAAAACATGTTTTAATAAAGTGAAAAGTGCAATGGAATGGTCGTGGATATTTCATAATGATACTCTACAGCGCATACGCAATGTCAGACGATTCGCCGTTTCTAACGAAGGGAAAGTTCATTTAATATGACGAGGGGGGGATGAAGATATTAAGGGGGGGCTCTGAAAATTTTTAGACACCCGAAGGGCGGGCTCTGAAAAAATTGTTGCGCAAGGAGGGGGGGCTCCAAAAACTTGTATACTTCAAAACCAACAAATGACATCATCATACAGATCGGATGGTTTTCAACTCAACAATTTAATGACCTATGCAACTCAGCTATATCACGTGGTTTACAGATATAACAAATGTAGTCTCAGTAATTTTTACACTCTTGTTCATCCCAAAAATGCTTTAGAAAATTGTATCACAACTGTATCTCAAGTTTGTCATAGTATAAACCATTGAAGACAATAACGGTAAATATATTTAATACAGTCTAGCGATCTTTGTTCAGGGGAGCAAAGGAATTGACGGAGGAGGGAGGGGGGGGGCTCTGAAATTTTTTCAACCACCAAGGAGGGGGCTCCTAAAAAATTGAACCGCTAGCGAGGGGGGCTGCTAAAATTTCAAGCTTCGAGTTTCAATATCTTCATCCCCCTTGTCATATTAAATGAACTTTCCCGAAGAGAAAGCGAGACTGATCTGCTGACATATCAGTCTTTTCTAAGAAAACCCTTCCCAGATCTGTGTATAACTCTTGCTATGACAGGATTTTCTCTTAGCTCTCAGGTTTCCAGCTTTTTTAAAAAAACACATTTTCAAATGTCAATTCTTTCTGGAATGGTGGACAAGAAACCACTTTGGGGATGCGATGCCAGTTGTTTGTTATTTGTTTTATTACTTTGACAGAGAGTTTAACTTTCGACCTGGGTCACATGTTTCAACCGGTCTCCTTGAAAGAAAAACACTTTACACTCCCTAGTTCTATCGTAATTCAACCTCCTCCCCTATTAGCGATAAATTACATCCATTGAACAGAAACTTACTCGTGAGGCTTTCCTTTTCCATCGCCTTCAACCTCAAAATAGTGTTTATTGACCGTGCCTGTCATGTAAACATACATACATACGTGCTTCATTTGGTAAAGCAGGTTGAGAGATGGCAGCATGAGGTAATGTGGACCTGCTAAACTATATTAAATAATTACATAATAATCGAAAATTACCAAATATACTAACTATACAAAAGAAATGTCAAAATATTACAATACACACAATCGAAATTAGTAGAAAAAGAATTTCAGCTACAAGAATGCAAAAGAAAGCGGCATGATAAAGCAATAAAATAATTTGTAAAAAAGGTAATCTAAAAGTAAATACAGTCATCAGTGTTCTTGTATGTAACAGTCGAACTGGTCCCAAAAGATATTCCACCGATAGATTTAGAGGGTTTTGCAATATTTCCTTTAAAAGATGCAATGGAAGGTGATGACTTGATATTTACAGGTAGAGCATTCGATATTATGCAGGCTCGATGAGTGAAAGAGTCACTGAGTCCTTTCCAGTAAGAATGGGTTAAATCAAATGTGAGGTTGTCCCTTAAATTGTATTTAGTCACATGCTTAGTGAAGAGATGCTTTTTTGTAGTAAGCTTGATAAGCAATGCACGCCAATCTTTTCTTGTAAAGATATGATAAGGAGTAACATTTAGCTTTAGATAGAACTTCATTCTTAGGAATGGAGGGACTTATGTTATGAATAAGACGAGCAGCACGGATGTGTAAGTCTTCCAGATCGTGTGATGAGTTTGGACAGCCCCATAGAGAAATACAGTAAGTTACACTAGGTAATATACTTTAAAAATAGATAGTTTCTAAGGTGGTGTGGTCAAAAGTTTTCATCTGTTTAAAATTTGTTTAATTTTGTATTAAAATTTGCAGTAACGGATTTAATGTGGGTTGACCAACAAAGTTTATTGCCTAAAGTGACTCCCAGACTTAGAGTGAGATACCCAGTTAATCGAATTATTTTCTTGGGTGATAGGCAGAATTGGTCTAATAAAGAGCATCTTTGATACAAACACAATTTCAGTTTTGACAGGATGAATGGACATGTAGTTGCAACGTGCCCAGTTTTGTAATTGTTGCAAAATATTTTGAACATGAGATCATTGTTTAGCGATCATACTCTGTTAAAGTAAAAAAGAAAACAGCGGGAAAATTTTATTTTAAGGGTCAGTTGTAACAATGCAAATGTGCCCACGGTAAAAAGAATGCCAAACTAGAGGGACTACAACTGAAAAATATATAGCTAATGACAAAATTAAGCTGCTTTTCAAGGCTGCTACATATAAAACGTACTGGACTATTTCAAAACTGTGGTGACGCAGTTTAGGTTTGAGGCCATCATCAAACTCTTGCAGATCGTAGATAACGAGAGAGCGGGCTGTTCTACACCTTAGTTCCAGGATGCGAAAAACGGTCTTTTAAATAATTGGTCTTAAACCGTCATCTATGCTTGGTCGACTTCAAACGCTTCACTTACTTGAAGTCCTTTTTTTAGGCTTGAGTGAGGGAGATAATAATAACTAGGGGTACCTTCCGGCAAGTGCCAACGAGGCAAATTCGTTTATCTTTTGTGGAATGTGCCTATTCAGATCTTCGCGATATTTTTCTCTATAATTTTAAAGGTTTAAAATCGATTCCGCTATAGAAAAGGATGGCACCCAACTTCAAAACAACAACTTTGGCGCATTCTAGGCTTTCACTTTTATTAAACAATAACAACATGGCTTGAAGCTTTGTTGGTAAATGTGAGCAAGTTAGCACTTATGTTTCATGGAAAATTCCATTGTATCAAAGCTATAAACGTTAGAAAGAAAAATATAGTTCAAATGAGGCCTTTGACTGATGAAATTAATAAAAATAATTCAATTCCGAGCGACAGCGTCATCAGGGATAAGAAAAGTATTTCGCGTGGTAATATATATAAGAAAAAATTGGTGTAAAGTAAAGTGTGTGAAAAGCGCAAGAATGGGGCGGAATGTGTCAAAGGTATAAAAATATAAATTTGAATAAAATACAAAGATCTGATGAGTGAGTGTCACAGGACAAAGAGTCTCTTGAAAGGCATAATGATAGTCTTCAAAACAAAAGGTCCGCAAACTCGTTGCATTCCTCACCGGAGTTTTGGGCTGTCTCAATGCAAATCGAGCAGCAAAAAAACATGCTGGTTGACAAAATCTCTCGAAAGACATAAATAAATTCTAAAAAAAAGGTCCGCAAATACGTTGCATTCCTCACGGAAGTTGAGGACTGGCTCAATGTCAATCGACCTGCGAAGAACATGCTGGTTTTGATATAAGTTTTGAGAATATAACCCTAAGCATTGATCAACTACCGCTTAAAATTCAATTCACAAAGGTAAACAGAACACTGAAAACCCTGGTTCTGTGTCGAGAAGCGAACACGCTACCTCAATGTAAATCGAGCTGCAAAGAACGAGCTAGTTCTGACAAAAGTTTGAGCGTAAAAACCCTATTCCTTGATCAGCTGCTACTTTAAACACAATTTATAAAGCAAACCAGAGCACTAATTGCCCTTTCAAACTAGAAATCGTATTAAAGCTTGCTCACCAGTTAGGTCCTCTTGAACAGACAACGAACAGCTGCACACTGAATCACCCAATCTTGAACCACAAGTTGTAAATACAAGACCATGACGTCACCACCCAAATATGGGGTCTTACTTACACCCACATATGGTCAAAAATGCAAATGTTAGAGGGTTACGCAGAATTTGGGAGTTTTTGCCTACGTTGCGCGGCGTTATAATTCTGCCGCCGAGTCAACCTCGCTTCTTAGCTCGGTTGCCTCGTTGGCAATAATAATAACAATAATAATAACAATAAAAATAACTAGCATTTCTAAACATGTATGGCCTATACAGATAGTTCTAAAAGCTTTACATTTCTCAATCTATGTTCCTAGTGATAACAAATTACAAAAGAGAAAAAAAAATGATGAAATAAATAAATAAAGCTGACTAACAAAAATTAATTAATGCGAATTCAGCTTAGTTTTAAAAATAGTTATACCCTGTCTATCGCACGTAATTCAGATGGAACTTCGTTCCACAGCTTAGGACCAGCAAACAGAAAGGACCTCAGTCCATAAGACTTCATATTATACCGAGCCAGGTTCAGTCGAATCGCATCAGTGGAGGAGCGCAGTGATGTATTAAACTTGTAGACCATCCAATAATTCTTGTAAATACTTAGGGCCTAATCCATGTACACATTTAAAAGTAAGGAAATATATCCTATAAACTATTCTCAGCTCTACTGGTAGCCAGTAAAGTGTATGCGGGTTCAGATTTGTTTTGATCAATGAAAACGCGCCCGAAACGGTAAGATACCTCTTTCCTACAACGAGGTGCAAGCTAAATCAAATTCATCCCTCTGCTTTTAATTTTCTGTTGTGTAGTACTATGTTACGTTTAACTTGAACCATGCATAAAAATTCAAAGGTGTCTAAATGTTTACACTGTGGGCAAACCGAATGGCAGCCAAGCCGTAGAACACAATCGTGTCGATTTATAGCACAAAAAGGGTCTACGCGTTTTACAAAACTGCCGCTTCCGTGCAACTCGGTACATGCTAATTCATATACCAAAACAAAGCCCAAGAATTTTTCTTCCACTGCTATATCATTTTTTGTTGTACCGAGTTGCACGAGACTTGCACTAAACATAAAAGGAGAAAATTACCCACCTTTTTAGCATGCCCTCTCATAGCATCAACGATTGCAACGCCGATCTCGGATAAATGTATCGAGCCAGTGTGTTTGTCTGACAGTTCCAGGAGGCATTATCTACTAGACAACACATATCACTAAAAATTTCGACCAAAATAATTTTCGAGCTCTCACAGTGGCAACAAAACCACAATACTACCACTGACAAAAAAAACCTGCCATTTTTTCTTTCATCTTGACAATGTTTCGCGGGGATTTTGCCTCTAAGCCAATGACTTTGCCGGAAATCAACCACGTGATTTATGTCGCGGCGCATGCGTAGACATTTTTCGCCTCTGAAATGTTGTTCAATATGCTGCGCTCGAGCACGCGCGTGGAGCTCCACTATGAATCATTTTACCAAATCTATTTTAATGGTTAACTTGGTTTCGGTTGCAGGACGTTTTCGATGCGCAAGTCTACGAGAAAGAAATTGCCAGATCGTTGGTTTTGGAAGTGAGAGAAGGGTATTGCAAAATTGGAAATAAACGTTTTGTCTTTCAGTTGCATAGTACGTGACCAAGCAAGCCACTTCCTTAGGAGCAGTTACATCAGAAAACTAAGAAGCAACACATCAATCAGGAACAGAAACAGAATACTGTATTTAAGTTTGGTCGCTGCAAAAGACAGAATCTCGGCTCCAAAGTGAAAATGTTGGGTATCAACAACTGACTGCGACTTAAAAATTGTGAACTAGAGAGCACAGACTGAGTGTATACCATACTAATGTACTGAACGTTCTTTTTGATTTTCTGAACCCAATAGTGTAGCTTAAAAACTCACAGGTAAATTGAACAGGCTCCATCGATCTCTCTATCACAGGAAGTTAATCTCCCCTAATTTGAAGATAATTTATAAGGAAACTTAAGGTGGCTCGATATAGTTTTTCAAGGTCAATACCTCCCAAGTTTGAGCGTAAACTGCGTTGCCATAAACAAGGATTTGGAAAAATTGACACCACAGTTGTATTAGATAAAGAAAAAAATTGGTTATAATCAGGGTCGCAATGACATCGGAGTTGTCATAGCAACGAAATGACGCCATTACCTATTTTACTTGCAGCAGTATTTCTCGGCACTGGGAACTGTTCCTCCAAAATCGTTTACTGGAGCTTTTACATACGATAGCTGCCTCGATGTTCGTGAAGTTTAAGCGAAATCTGTCAGAGCGTTATCGAGATATTCTGGGATGAAGTTTTTCTGGTTAGAAATACGGTAAAAAATTGACAATCTTGATGTTGGACTGTTATCTGTACTAAACGAAGCGCTTTTGACATGCAATTTCACCTCATAGTAGTTTCAATCTTTTTAAAAACGCGTGTGAAAGATCATGGAGATACCTCCAGCCGATTGCTAGAAAGGAGGATTCGATTAGTATGTATCAAGGCGCTCTTGTTAGCGGTAATGTAAACATTTCAGTCTACTTTAACAAATTAGCGAATAATTTTTAAACCGCTCGATAAACTTTTTAGAAAATTTATTAGTCTTGAGATTAACCCTCCTTTTATATGACCTCTTAGTTTCAAGATTATTGATATATTGTAAGGCAGTAAAATAAGGGCTTGAATTCGCTAACATTTTGTCAGAAATTTTGTGTTTACAAGTGAAAGCCTCTCATTATTCAGGGCTATTGTCTCCAAGTTTCATATTTTCGTGCACAACAATAGCTAGCAGTTTTGCATATGTCAAATGCATTGATAGTTACTGCTGTTCACGTGAAAATGAAACTTTGAGACTATACCCTGAATAATAAGGGGCTCTCACTTGTAAAGACAAAATTTCTGACAAAATATTAGCGAATTGTAGCCCTTATTTTACTACCTTACAATATATCAATAATCTTGAAACTAAGAGGTCAAATAAAAGGACGGTTTATCTCAACACTTGTAAATTTTTTAGAAAATTTATCGAGCGCTTTAAAAATTATTCGCTAATTTGTTAAAGTAGTCCGAAATGTTTACATTACGGCTAACAAGAGTGCCCCGATACGTACTAATCAAATTCTTCTTTCTAGCAATCCGCTGAAGGTATCTCCATGATCTTTCACCCACGTTTTTAAAAAGATTGAAACTACTATGAGGTGAAATTGCATGTCAAAAGCGCTTCGTTTAGTACAGATAACAGTCCAACATCAAGATTGTCAATTTTTTACCGTATTTCTAACCAGAAAAACTTCATCCCAGAATATCTCGATAACGCTCTGACAGATTTCGCTTAAACTTCACGAACATCGAGGCAGCTATCGTTGGTAAAAGCTCCAGTAAACGATTTTGGAAGAACAGTTCCC